TCACTGCTCACACCACTGTGCACATTTAGAAAAAAAAAAAAAAGAAAATTTGTGTTTTATAAGGACATCAATTTATTTGAATGTTTCATGAAATTGTACATGGGCAACCAAATGAAACACACACTGCATACACTTTAGTTTGAACAGAGTCATCAGAAGCCAGTCAGTCCCCCTTGGTGCTTGTATGCACTGGGAAACCATTTCGTGTCATTGTTAGAAGCCTCACGCGCGTCAACAGAGATTTGTTTAATTTAATAAATTGTGAAAGTTACACATGACTAAACAGATACAAATGGTTTGTATAAGTATTATACTATCAAAAAACCGAGCGACTTTTTGGTGACTTTACCTTTGAATTTACTGTGAACAGAATGAGTGAACAGTCTACATGTGTGTTCATGCAACAATTTACTTTTAAAAAAATACCGGTATACATAGTTTCTTGATGGATTATCATTTTCATTGTTCAGTATAACAAAAATTTGGTGCTTGCTGTTGTTTTTTCAACCACATGAAGCATTCCCTTGATTGCTCCAGCTAGTGAACTTATTATGATCTTAAAAAAGAAAAATAATATTTCTGAGGAGACATTCTAGACAAATTAAAGCAAATAAGCATTATAGCATATTCAGAATTTTACTATACTTATTATTATATTTTTTTTCTTTTTCTAAATTTTAAAAAAGTGGAACACCAAAGGTAAAATACCAATTTTTGTAAATTATGATTTATCAAGGGAGGCCACTCTCTTGTGTTCACAGTTTTCATTTTAATCTAATCAACTATCCCCTTACAAACAAGACTAACATAAATTCAAACAAGAACATAAGTTCCACTATAAAAATATTAAAATTTAACATTTTGTTCATGCCATAAGCAGGCAACTCATTAATATTCTTTTTTTTAATGAATAGAATAGAATTACCACTGGCAAGACATTACAGGAATACTAAGAGTATAGTTTCCTACATTTCAACAAGGACTCATCCGTCCATAATCATCATCATTCCATCACATCAGCAATTATGTTGTGGTCACCACAG